GTCGGTATGATAGATTTGGGAGGCTAAAATTTCTTGTGTGGTTCATTCGTCTTGTTTGCGACGAGGAGCACTCCTTGTCAGCATGCAAGCATCCAGCTCACTCATTTGTCATTGCCTGTTCTTTGTCCGATAGGCGAGTCTGGCATTGGCAAGCACACCCTGGTCGATTCGCTGTTCAAGACCAACTTTGAGCACGATCAGCTTGATCAGCCCGCCAAGGCTGTCACCCTGACCAGCAACACTTACGGTAGGAGAGAAGGAGGAGGGGGGTGGGGAAGGCATTTCGCCAGCAGCTGAAAAAGGAGGACCACAAACTAACTTTTTTTTTGTGTGTGTGTTTGTCGACAAACTTCAATCAGAGCTCAACGAGACTGGTGTCGATCTCCGCCTGAGCGTGACCCATTCGCGTGGATTCGGCGACCAGGTCAACAACGCCGATGGGTAAGTGCCGTTGTTTTATCGATTTAGGCGCAACCGCCCCCCCCCCCCAACCTTCATTTTGCACAAAAACAAAAATCCCTCTCACATTGTCGTCCCTATTCCTCTCTCTCTCCTCTCTCCGCTCTCTCGCGTTTCAGCATCAAGCCCATCGTCGACTTTGTCGACGCTCGCTTTGACGAGTTCCTCCAGCAAGAGTTCAAGCCATCGCGCGACCTCAAGTCCTGGATTGACACGCGCATTCACGCTTGCTTGTACCTGCTCACCCCGACCGGCCACTCGATCAAGTCGATCGATCTGCTTGCCCTGAAGGAGCTGTCGACTCGCGTCAACATCATCCTTGTCATTGCCAAGTCGGACACTGTTTCCCGATCCGAGCTTGACGAGTACAAGCAGCGCATCTTGAACGAGCTTGACGACAACAACATCAAGCTGTACAGCTTCCCCACTGACGACAGCGACGATGTTGCCAAGCTCAACGAGAAGCTCAACGCCGAAGTGCCGTTTGCCGTTGTCGGCTCGCGGACAGAGGCCAACCTCGGCGGCCAGCGCGTTCGCGTTCGTCAGTACCCCTGGGGCATTGTCGAGGTCGAGAACGAGGCGCACTCGGACTTCCCCAAGCTGCGCGAGATGCTCATCCGCACCAACATGGACGACCTGATTGGCAAGACCCACCACGGCCACTACGAGCACTTCCGCCAGCAAAACTTTAGCAAGCTCGGTCTTGGCGGCAATGCCGACTCGACCGTGTCTGAGGCGTACAACAAGAAGCTCGCCGAGCACGAGGCAGAGAAGCAGCGCATCGAGGAGGCCATGCGACAGACCTTTGTTGCCCGCGTCAAGGACAAGGACACTGAGCTCCAGCGCGCCGGCCTTGAGCTCAACCAGCGATTTGAAAAGCAGATGCGTCAAGTCAAGGAGCAACTCAAGGAGTTTGAGGAGCAAGACAAGCGCATCTCGACCGAGCTCGAGGCCATCCGAGCGGCAATGGCTGACCTCAACAAGGACAAGAAGAAGGACAAGAAGACAAAGTAAAACCCTGGGCTCCTTGTAATCACCAAGAAGGCGACCACCCCCCCCCCTCTCTTTTGCCATCAAAGAACGAGCGGCGAGCTCGCGGTTGAGTCCTCTTTTGTCAGATTCTTCTTAAAGTTGCTGTTTCGTTTCCCCCCTTTTTGTGTGTGCAGGTCTCTTTGATTTCTTTTGGATGTTTATTTCTTGTGTTGTTTAGTCTGATGGGTTTGTTGTTTTTGCTTTCGCTTTGCGCCTGTTTCACTTTTTGCTCTGCATTTAATTAACGGCGTTGGTTACAAAAATCAGCCTTATTTTTGAGTTAGGAATAATTGGGGGAAGAGAATAATTTGACATCCGACAAGCAGCAGCCACTCCTCACTTCGAGTGCAAAGCCATTGCTGTTGATCAGCCTTGGCCAGGCGGTTGTTGCTCGGGAGCGGTCGTCTGGTCGGCGTTGGGTGGGAAATCAAAATTGGCAGCGGCCGCTTTGAAATCCGAAAACTTGGCCATCATATCCGACTGGGTTGAAAGCAGTGTGACGAGCACACAACTGGATGAGCACGCATGTTCCGTTTGACAACATTGGGCAGATGTGGGAATCAACGCCTTACCATTGAGTGCTGCGTGGACGCATCCAGTCGCGAGTACACGCGAAGCGCCTCCGCGGACTGGAGTTGAGTCATTAACACAGTCAAATCGTCATCATCCGAGACATCCGATGTCCGTTTCGACTGGAGCTGACGAGCACACCATCAAGCACAAGCAAATGAGCGTTGATTTCTGCCAAAAAAAAAAAAGCCTGAGCAGCCTCCTTCTCATCAGCCGATACACACTCACCCAACCATTACTATGGTGCGGATCATCCAGGGAAGGGTCGACAGACTGGTGACGTCCACGCGGCATCGGAATTGCACGCGCCGGCGAGGCTGCAAGGTGGCTTGGAGTGTCCTCGCCGAGGGCGCCAGAGCCAGCACGCGACGAGCCGAGGCGCGAAGCGTCTCCGCTCTCGAAATGATGGGAATGATGCTGATGAGGTTGCGAATGATTCGGCTGGGGTGGCGACTGGTGGTTCATGGACTTGAAGGGAT